GTTACAAAACTTCTACCTTTACAATTGCGACAGTCGCGATTAGTCATGATAACAGTTATTCACTACTGAATGTTACGAATTTTATCCCCATCTCTTTTCACCAGACCCATCTAGACAAGAAGACACCTATTCAGTGGGGACTCTTTCTTTCCCCCCATGCTCTTAAACTAAACTCCCTCTTGAAACCTTGTAAGCCAGTCACTTCGTGCCTTTTTCTTCCCCTCGTTTTGGGTAGACAATGTCTAAGTTGTCCATCCCTTTCTACCCTGTGTACAGAGGGGATAGCATTGATACTTGATGTGAAGACTCTTTCCCTCTCTGATGGTATTTAGAGTAACTACCGCTTTGAGTCTAGGTCAGGTTCATCAAATTGAAGCAATTTACACTTGTTTCCTTTATTAAAAAAAATTTTTTTTTTTTCACCAATCTTCCTCTAGTCGAGCTCTGATTATCGAGCCATTGAGGCTAGGTCAAATGGGTACTGTCTGCAAGTTTGGGTGTTCTTGTGCATCTCCCCTCACTTCACATGAGCTGGATCCTTCATTCGCAGCTCTAGCCCTCTGAGGCTCAGTCCTTTTGTATGGCCTCAAATGTCTTCAGGTCTCACCACACTTTGGACTGACCAGCCCCTTCCTCTTCTCTCTTTCATTTCCAGGTCACCGGGATTCAATGGACTGGGGTTGAACTCAGCCCATATCTTCATTGATGCTTTTCCTCCTCTTCCACTCACCAATAGACCAATGTGGTCGCCAGCAAGCTTACATGCTGGTTTGTGTATTCCCTTTGAGTTTCAGTCTTAGAGGGGAGTTTGTCCTGAAGGCACTTGATTTCTAGCCTTAATGTTTTCCTGGTGAACAGCTTGCTTATTCTTGTAGTAGCCATTAATGTGACATTTTTGTTTTGGGTTTTTCCTGATGATCTTTCTTTGAAGATGTATCTTCTGTCACTGTAGCTGTTCCAGTCTGCTTGTCCTTACTAGTGGGAATGTCCACCTCATAAGGTTCTGGATGGTACTCAGGATTCCACCTAAGGTTCTATACTCTGTAAAGGCTTTGTACGAGGCCTATTTCACTGGGCAAGTTGTAGAACCCCTTTTAGGAATTCCAATCAGTTATAGGCTGAATTTCTCTAATCATGTTTCCCAACATTCCTTTCTATCCCACTCAAGTGTCTATTTTACAATAGTAGGCAAGTGAAACTAATATTCATAATAAGGCAGTCAAGGATTTTAGTATTATTTACCCTCTTCAAGCTATACCTAGATCCCTGTATCCCAGAGCCCTGTTGTTCCAAGGTTGAATATGCATCACTATTTACCTCTGTCCCACTAGGCCATGCAAACCTGTCTCAGTGTTCCCTGTCTATCTTGTTCTTCTGCCTCCTCCCCACTTCTTGTATTGCCCTCCCCAACACCCAAACTAGACCCTCTTCCCCAACCCCATTGTGGTTACCTTATATTCCATTAGTTCTACCCTGCATTTAAGACAGTCTGTTTTATCCTGTAATCTCCATGACCTTCCCACCACCTGGATCTCTGTTCCTCTGTGTTTACCTTCTTTCACATTGTAATTGTTTTGACCATAGACTGACCTCGCAGATCCTCTATTTTTATAATGTTATTCTGTTCTTGACTCTTC